GACAAAATCTAGAGTCTCTACAACATATTGTTTAGAACATGCAGTATTCAACACAACGTCAACAGGCATTCAAGGAAACAGGACCATGTGCTCCAGAGTCAAGGAAATAAGTGGTCAGCAGACACCACCCCCAAGGCGGCCCAACTAGACTCAGCGGGCAAAGCCTTTAGGCAATATTGTAATTATGTTCAAACAATTAGAGAAAAATATGGCCCCTTGAATAAATGGAAAGAAAATCTCAGCAGACAAATACAACTCGGCAGAGAAACAAGGAGAACCAAATGAAAGTTCTAGAATAAAGAAGTATAATGCCCAAATGAAAAATTTTCCAGGGGAGCTGAGTGGGAGATCGGAGATGGCAGAATAAAGAATCACTGAACGTGGGGAGAGAACCAAAGAAATAATCCAGTTTGAAAACCTAAGAGATTGAAGGAAAACTAGGAGTTTGAAGGAAAATGCACAGAACCTCAAGGAGCTATCTCCTGGAGTAACATCAGAGGTTCTAACTTGTGAGAAACTGCAGTCCCAGGAAGAGAGAAAATGAGATAAAGCAGGGAAAATACTGAAGACATAATGGATAGAAGTGTCTTAGTTTGATGAAAATTGGTAACTTTCAGACCAAGAAGCTGCATGAACTCTGATCAGTTCGAGTGCAGAGCAGAGCTCACCCTCGGGCCAGGTGAGTAAACCGCTTGGACACTGGTACGGTTCCGAAACCCGGACAAAGCTTTAGCACTCAGGCTCGACTAGTCCAAGGGGCTGCCAAGTAGCTTGGGCTTCGGAGAGCAAATAGAGAGAAAAGGAGTTAGTTTGTTGCTGATCAACACTGTTATCTGTCACAGAGCAGAGACCGCAGATGCTTCACAGACATTTGTCTGGTCAAGTTGCAGGTTCAATCATGAACGGGTCACACGTTCAGTTCCACAGCCGGGTTTTGTGAGTGACCACGGCGAAGTCACGGTCCTTCTGCACGGAAGGCCCACGTGGTGGGACTTCTTCAGCCCTGGGCGGGGCCTTCGTGCCACTCCACTCCAGGGGACCCACCCCCCGGGGAGGCTTTTGCTGCGTGGGCAAGAAGAGCATGGTCTCGGCGTGAGACTGCCGAGGGAGAAATCGCAGCTCGGCCACATAGCAGTCAGTCCGTCTCTCCCCGCCCCCCTCCCATTCAACCACCATCGGCTGAAACCACTTAGGGACCTTTCTAGATAATGAGGATACCGTGCTGAATGAAAAACGTTAAAGCATTCAATTATTATTATTATTGTTATTAAAGGCTGAAATGCTTTTAATAGCGAAACCTTTCATTCACAATGGAAATTCATATGTCCCTGAAATTTGGCTTAAACTCCCTTTGAGATACAAATGACTGATAACAGATACTTTCCTGAGAGCAGGTTTGACAGGGGAGAGAGGGTGAGGATCACGGTTGCGAGGATTGAAAGCGAGCAGGAGAAGCGTCACGGCACACAGCCAGTGTGCACGGCTACCGCACAGTACCGGGCAGGGCTACGAGCACAGACTGCGAGTCAGGCTCTCTGAGCCTCAGTTGTATTAATCTGTGAAATGGGGGCAGTATCAGTAGCAGCCGCATGGGCCTGTGAGGGTCGGCGTAAGTTACCTCCGTGGCATGTCGCGTGCTGGCAAGGGACGGGATACAGTCAAGACTGCGCAGGGGGAGCAGGAATGAGCCCAAAGAGGGGCGGAGCCAGGTCAAGCTTCAGCTCTGCTTCGCGCCAGCCCTGCCTCCACGCCCACCCGCCAGCCTGGTACTCACACGAACCACCGAAGCCCATGGAGAACTGCTGGCACTACAAGAGGCACACGCTCCTGGTGCCTGCATGGCCTACACATGCACAGTGACGCCAGCCTGTTGACCAGACCGGGCGGCCGGAGGCCCCGGAGGACAGCAGAGCCCGCCAGACAGGGTCTGCATGGGAAGCGGCCCTCAAGGCCAGCACGTGGCCCTCCCATCAATGCTGCATCCTCTGCCCACTGCCCTGGGGGTACAGACTCCCCCAGCCGGAACATCTCCGGGGGAGGGGCTTCTGTCCCCCACAAGCTCTGGGTGAAGGACATTTCCCTGTTGGACGGAGCAGGATGGATCTGCCTCCCCCAACTCTCCAGTTCTGGTTCTGAACTGTGGGGCCACACAGAACACGGCTCATCTTTCACCCCACGACTGTCTAACGTGTGGGGGCACCCCCAGCTGCGGGCGAGAGCCCGGGGACCAGAGAACTGTCTCCCAGCTGCCCACGGAGTGGAACGGGGGCTTCTTGGAACAGAGGCGGCGGCAGCGGCGGGGCGGGGGAGAGGGTGCGAGGGGCCCTGCCCGCTCACTCCTGAACTTGCCTGCCGGCGGCGCGCTGGCTTTACCGTCGCCAACGATCTCTACGTAATCAACCTGCAAACCATCTCGAAAATGTGACACGATTTTCATGAGTGCGAAATTGAATAATGAATGAAGTCGACATACTCATGTGTCTTGTAGGCATGAAACGCTTACTAATGTTGATTTTATAGTTTTCTTTCTGTGTTTTAGAACTTGTTTTTTTTTAAGGTCTTAAAATTTTTCACTTCCCAGAAAAGCTCACAGGCACCTTGCCGGCAGTGGTTAATGGGTAAAATGGCCATGACCTCTGGCGTCTGGGGACATGGACTAATTTGACCCTACCAAGGCCATCACTTCGTGACGCTACGCTACATTGTCCCTGCACTAGAGAGAAGTCCTTGACCCTAGTTCCTAGTTCCACACTTAGGACAGATACTTCTGCAGACAGAACAAAATCGGAGGAAGGAAGGAATAGAGAAGGAAGACAGGAACAAATGAATATTTGCTAGGAATCTTCCTGGAGCAAACCCTAGTAAGGGAAACTTTCACATTCATTCAAATGTACATTTAATAAGCACCTACTATGCGCCAGGACCACTGTTATAGAATGGTAACGGGGGGATGAAACAGACAGGATCTCAGCCAATTCCAACCACCATCCAGGAAGGTGAACATCCTTATCCCTCCCTCCCTCCCTCCCTCCCTCCCTCCCTCCCTCCCTCCCTTTAGGAATTTAAGGCCCTTGGGATTAACTCACTCCTCCAAGGTCAGCCCCAGCGTCAGAGCTGGCAAACGCAAGCCCAGGTGACTGAGGCCACGTCCCACTCGCTCTCCTGCAGAGCAGGGTGAGGGCGGTGTTATGGGTGTCATGGGTGAAACTAACACAAATTCATTGGTTTTGGTGAGGACCACAGTCATCGTGGATGGTTCTAGTGAAACCTCACAGTATCTTTCTTCACATCGCTGTGTCCTGTCCCCAGAAGACTGACCTTGAGGGCTGGGGGACTGTCCCCTACAAACCTTGCACCCCTAGTACATAGCTGAGTCCTCAGCACACAGCAGGGACTCGGGAAGAGCTGCTGAGTAAACAGGGGCTTGTCTACAGAGCGAAGCGATCATGGATGGAGGGTCACAGTTCCGGGGAGCCATGACCTTACAGGACTTTTGTCGAGCACCTGCAGGTGCTTGAGAGAGACCTCAGAGCACGAACACACTCGAACTCGCTGCCTGCGCACTTGAAGGACGCAGGGCACGGAGTAGGCGTGGGCCCTGGGGTCCTCAGACTGGGCGTGGACCCCCGAGGTGGTGGCGGTGTGCACGTGGGCAGAGGAGCAGCCTCTCCTGGCTTAACCGAGAGCGGGAGCAGGCAGGCCCACGTCCACTCTCGGCCTGGGATTAAACGAGACACGGATCACCGTGGGCCTCGAACACAGCTGAGGCCCGATACATGTTATCTCCTTTCCTGAGTGCCTGTCTCTTTACTCCCTCTGTCCTGACTTTTCTCCCCGGAAAAACGAGAAGGGCGCCCCCAATGGGCTGTTTGTGCGGGCGAGTGCAGACCGCACAAGGTGTGCCGGGATGTGGAACGGCGCGGCAGGGACTGATGTGTGCATGCTTTCTTTCAACGAAGGCGGAACATTAGCAAAGCAAAGAGCAAAGCAAAGAGCAAAGCAAACACTAACAAAACACCACTCCCAACAAGTAAGCGCAGGGAGTTCTGCTTGGGCCAGGGCGTCGCCTCCCTGCCTGTAAACACGGCCGGGGGTCCCAGGGACTGAGCTGTGGGCACGGCCGGGGGTCCCAGGGACTGAGCTGTGGGCACGGCCGGGGGTCACAGGGACTGAGCGGCGTGTCCGAGCCCCGAGAGGTCGGAGCCTGCCGGCTTTCGCCTTGCAGCTCTGCGCACTCAGCGACCGCGGGCCCAGGAGGCCGTCCCCCCGCAGCCCGCCCTGAGAGGCAAGGTGATCCCGGAGACGCCGTTGTGGGCGGTTCAGGTCTACAGAGAGCACCCAGCACCGCTGGGGGGGCGGGGGCGCACAACTGGGCCCCTTACAGAGCCACGGAGCCTCAGGGAACTCCGTTCCATATACAGAGGGCCGCTGCCTCAGGGGTGAGAAGGTGTGATGGTCAGGGCCAGCCAGGCTGCGATTTCAGGTGCCCACGAGAGCCCCACACCCCCCCGCCCCGAGTCTCCCACCCGCAGGCTGGAAACAAAGCCTGCCTCCCCACAGGGCCACAACCTGGGACCCCCCCAAACCCCCCTTGGAGAGGCTCCAGCCAGCTTCTGCTGGGAGAGAGGAGCACCTTGTCTGGAGTGCAGATTGAGGCAAAGGGGCAGAAGGGGACATGGGGACACTGTCTAGCCTGCCAGCCCTGCCTCGGGCAGTGCATCTCGTCCCCCGGATGACAGGGTGCCCTGGGTAAGGGCACCTTCCGGCAGGAGGCACCACAGGCTGTCTCCGGAAGAGAGTCTGTGTGTCCTTCCTCTCCACAGCCCCTCACACACACTGATTGCTCGGGGGCGGCCACAGCCCTCCCCGCCCTCCCTGTCGCCGGGGTCGGGAAGCGTCCTTGGCGCGCCAGCCCTGTTACGGGGTTAGCGCACAGAGAAGCGAGGGGCAGCCGCTGCGGGGTGGGGGTGGGGGGTGGCCCTGCTGCAGGCAGCTCCTACCATGTCGCTCTGCGACGGCGTGGCCCCGTACGCGGACATCCCGTTGGAGGGCGCGGCCGGCTGCGGGGTGTCGGGCTGGATGTACCCCCTTCGGTCGATGAGGCTGCAAGAGAAAGGGAAACAGCGAAGGAGAAGGAGCGGGAGTAAAGAGCCAAAGACGCCACCAAGGCCGTTTTAACTTCCACTTTGGGGGTCCCTCTTTCTGTGGGTGGACGGGCCCACCTCAGACACCTCGGAATACACCCTGGTCATGGCCACGGGTGGGCAGGCTCCACAGTGTGTCGCTTCTGCGTTTCCGAATCCCATAGCACCCGTTCCCTCTGTGCCACCTGCCGCAGGCCCTGCGGCGCCGTGTGCTGGCCTCTGCCCACCGCCCACGGTCCCCGTCGGAGGACCCGATCACAGCGCCCTTCCTGCGGGCACGGCTTCGGGAGCTTCGGCGCCAGCGGACACAGTCAGGATGCCTGCGCTTGGCCTTCAGGCCTCACGGCCCCGCCCCCGCCCCCGCTGTCCGCTCCAGCCTCAGACCCACGTCTCCTGGTGGCACACTTGGTCTCGTAGGTTCGTCCCCTCCACAGTCGTGTCTGAGTGCCTGTCACCTGCCAGCGCATGGCAGGGCCCAGAAGCCTGGTACGTGCTCAGGGCCTCGCCGGCTCTGGATTTTTATGCAAACTGTTTTTTTCTTACCCAAAGTTACTTTCCCTTCCATTCCACTGTCCATCCTTGTTTTTTTTCTTTTAGATTGTATTTATTTATTTTTAATATTTTTATTTATTTTTAGAGAGGGGAGGGAGAAAGAGAGAGAGAGAGAGAGAGAGAAACATCAGTGTGCGGTTGCTGGGGGCTGTGGCCTGAAACCCAGGCACGTGCCCTGACTGGGAATCAAACCTGTGATGCTTTGGTTCGCAGCCTGCGCTCAATCCACTGAGCTACACCAGCCAGCGCTGTATTTATTTATTTTTAGAGAGAGGAGAAGGGAGGTAGGAAAAAAAAGGGAGAGAAACATCAGTTTGCTAGAGAAACATCAATTGGCTGCCCCCATCTGGGGACCTGGCCCGCAACCCAGGCCTGTACCCTGACCGGAAATCAAACCGGCGACCTTTCGCTTCGTGGGACAATGTCCAGACCACGGAGCCACCCTGGTCAGGGCTCCACTGTCCTTTCCTCACGGCCAGGTTCAAGAGCCCTGCAGCCCCGGCTCCTGCCCCTGTACCTGCTTCCGTCCCTTATCTGCCTTCTCCTAGCCCTGCCTGGGTGCCTCCCGGTGGTGCGCCTCCCCGTTTCCTGGTGTCACGGGGACTTGAGACAGTCCTGCCGGGCAGCCTGCAGCTCCCGAGGGAGGGCCGTCTTCCTCTTTTCTCCCCCTCCGCCCCTGGTCCCGGAGGGTGCGGGGCTCAGAGTCCCCTGGGCCCCGTCCTGTTGGCATCGCCTGTGCCCACGTCTGCATCTGTCACGGGTGTGAGCTCCACGATGGGAAGGTTGGAGTCTTCCTAATCACTGTGTCTCCACCGCCGGCAGCAGGAGGAGCTGCGCACACGCTCGCTGATGAAACGGGAATGGCCCTCTGGCTCCCGCGGACAGGTCTGCTGAGCGATGTCTCTACGGGCATCTTTCCTTCGCTCCGCGGCGGGGTGGCCCAGTGCAAAGGTGGGGTGGTGAAGCTCTCCCCTGCCATCCCAAGAGCTGCTGGGAGTGGGGGTTCAGCGCTGACCTTGAGCCTAAGGGCAGAACAGCAAAGCGCAGCAGGAGGCTCAGCTAATAAGTGGGTGCGCCCACTTATGGGGCTCGGGCCACACTCTGGAGGCTTCTGCAAGATGCCTGAAGTGCCCCCCGCCCCCCACACCTCCTCCTGGGCGGGCGGGGGCTGGGCTGCTGGCAGCGGCTCCTGCGTGTCAGCTGGGCTTTCAGAAGATAGGAATCATCATCGCAACCACTGCCTTCGGGTCTTCAAGTGACAGAAGAACAAGCCATTACAAATTGTTTGGGACAGGATCTTGGAACGGAGCTCTCTCTGCTTCAGCCTCAGGTGGATCCCCGGAGGTTTAGGGGAAAAACAAAAGGCACCAGGCACCTCCACCTGCCAGAGGGAGGTGCGGGACCCCCATGCAGGACATCAACAGGGTTCTCAGACCCGGCGCGCCTGGGCAGGAAGGGCAGAGTGAAGCGAGCCGGGGAGGAAGTCCTGGAGAAAGGAGCCATCGGCACCTGGTTGAGGAAGAGGACCTGGGGGGGGAGCCGGTGGGTGAGGTGAGGGTGGGGAAAAGTTGTCCTGAAGGGGCTGTGTCGGGGGTTGAATGGTGTCTCCCCAAGAGATATGTCGAAATCCCAACCCAGCGTGGAACGTGTTGACCTTCGGTGAACTTCGGAGTTCTGATTCACTGGGACGACATGATTTTGGAGGCCACAGAAGCGCCCTGAATCCTTTTTTTTTCTTTTAAGTGATGGGAGCAGTTTGGGGACTTGCAGGGGACCTCGGCCAGGAGCAGGAAAGAACCAGGTCACCGAGCCCGCACGTCACACATTTGGCCTGTTTCCTGGACCAGCCGCGGCTGACGTCCGCCACAAGTCTCCTCACAGTGGTCCACGGCACCCTGCCCGCCCCCTCCCCCGGTCTGGCTGTGCTCCCCTCGTCTCAACTCTCGTGCTCAGCTCCCTGCCCCCACCCTACCCGCCCCCCCACCCCGACAAGCCAGGCTCTCCCCTCTGCGGTCCTCCCACAGTGCCTTCCCCCATTCCTGCTCGTCCTTTAGCACAGATCACTGGAAGCCCCCTGCCCCGGGGAGCCCACCCAGAGGTCCCCTCGCAGCCCCTCCACCACCCTGACGACTTGCCACCGAGGGGTCTGCGCTGCCCAGGACGCTGCACGCGGCAGAGCTGGCCACACGGCCTGGGCTCAGCAACCCTGGCCAGGAGAGTTCTTAGGACTGGCTGACCCTCAGCACTGCCCGGAGGGCCTGACCCTGACCACACCTCGGGACTTTCTGTCTTTCCAATTTCCATTCCTCCCGCCACCGTTGTAGGAGGGGCCCCTTCCCCCAAACCTGGCCACTCCCGCCCTGCTGTCCCCGCACTTCTGGGGACACTGCAGGGAACCGAGCGGGGGGCTGCAGCTCTCGCTGGGCTGCAGGAGGACACACACCCTCTCCCCCTCTCTCGTACGCGCATCGCTGTGCCGTTGAAGAATGTTTCGTAGGCGACTCAAGTGCACGGTTCTGGCACACGGATGGCGCGGGGCCCCTGCCTGGAGCAAGGACACGGCCCAGTGGGCGGGGCTGGCTGGGCCGCCCACCTGTGGAAGGCCCTGGCCCTTGCGGGGGCGGAGGCGTTGGGAGAGGTCAGCAAAGAGAGGAGAAGGAAGGAGACAAGAGGGATGGGTGTCCGGCCAGCTCTGGGGGCCCGAGGACCAGGTGAGAGAGGCCAGCGGCCCGTGGTCCCTGTGCCGTCCAAGTGATGCCCCATCCAGAGGGACTTGGGTGTTGGAAAGAACACAACCCCAACTTGGCCAAGACAGCGGTCTTCACCTCGTTGTGGAAGAGATAATTTCTGTTGTGATGTGCCTGATCCATAAAGAGCAGGAAATAGTGCCAAGGAGAAGTCGAAGGCGCAGGAACAAGAAGAGGGATTGGGACGACAGTGAGGCTTTTCAGCCCTTTGTCTGGATTCAGACGCGTGCTCCAGACGGATGCTCGGTCTCGGGTCTCTCTCGCCTCTTGCCCTCCTCCCAGGCTCCGAGCCCCCACTAGCCACGAATAACCCCACCAAAGGAGACACAAACTAAATTGTGAAAACACAGACACTTCCCGAGGGGTTTTCTAGTTTCACGAGCCCCGAAAGGGCTCCCTGGGGGAGTCTGGAGCTCTCTTGGAGAGGGGCTGGCACCCTCGCAGGCATGCCTGCCCCACCACCTGAGGCGGCCCCGTCCTGTTGGCCCCGCCTTAGAGCAGGCCAATGAGGGGCAGGCAGGTCAGGGGGTCTTGAGAGCCCCCAACTCAGGAGAGAGGCACTCCGGGCTCCCAACTTGCTGGGCTCAAATAGGGAAATGATCCAATTCCTCAACAGCACCAGCAAAAATAACCCCGTACCAATTCATGAACGGCTTTGGAATATATGCTTGAGTTTTTTGTTTTTTGTTTTTCTTTTTGGGGGAGGAGCACCATTCTTACTTCCCTATTAACGATTCACTGAGGCTGGTGATCGAGTTAAGTGTGCGTCCCGTGAGCACAGGTCAGCGAAGACGGGCCATGGGGGTCGGAGTGCTCAGCCATCCCAGCGCCTCCTGCGGGGTCTCCCACTCTGCACACTTAGAGGCTGGCTGGTGGAGGGAGCAGCGGCCTGGGAATGCCCTCGAGGTGTCAGAAGCACTCGCCCGACACGTGTGTTTGAGGGCTGCCTGGCCGGCCTGCTGGAAGCCCTCCCCACGCAGACGGCGGCACTGTGGACGCGCGTGGTCCTGACCGGCAGGTGGCACGCCCCAGTCAACCGCCTGCTGCTTCTGACGGCGGACACTGGGGTCCGAGGTCTGACTAGGCGGCGTTCACCAGCAGCGTGCGCTTGGGCCCCCCCCTTTAACCCCTCTGTGCCTTCGCTTCCTCCTCCATAACGTGGGATGGGACGGCCCCTGCTTCCTGGGGAGAGAGGGAGGCTCTGCCCGTTAACACAGCTGAAGTGCTCAGAGCACAGCCTAACAATGGTCAGTCAATGTCAGCTCCCGCCATTGTGCGTACGACGGTTGTCTTGCCGTCACCTGCTGCAGCCGCACAGATCTCCCCTCCGAACGGCTTGTGCGTTGACGTTCTGGGCCGCTCAGCTCCCCGCACTCGCTCCTACGGGCCTCCTGACTGCCCCCTGCTCCCTGCCCTGGTTCCCTCGCTGCGCTAAACACAGCCCCCTGCCACCACCGACGCGCGGCATGCAACCGTTACCCAGGTCACCCGCCTCGGTGTCCCTATTTGACCCTTGGGGGGTTTTCCCTGAACTTGATACAAATTCAGTGTGTCGAGCACGACACGGCCAACAGCCCGGTCTCTACGGTCCCTGTGTCACGGAGGCCGTGTCTCTGTGGCACCAAGTGGAGCCCTGGGTGGGCAGTCACCCGGGCGGAGTGACCTGACCCACCACTGTGGCTGGGTCTCCCCCCGGGGAGGCCTGCGCTGACCCAGCGAGGTGTGGGCTTCCCAAAATCTGGGAGCGAGCACGATGCTTTGGGGGTCTTACCTGGGGGACACGGGCCCACACAGGGCGACACAGCAGTTCGTGAAGATGTTCCCGTAGCTGTAGGGGTTGTAATTCTCTTTACCTCTTTTATTTGACCAAGAGCCTTTGATCTGAAAGAAAAAGACAGTCGGTCAGTAGCACAGTATCCTTCACATCAGGGCCGCAGTTTGAGAGAACTGGACGACAAGAAGTCACTGAGGATGCAAATAATCTTTCCTTGTTTCCTCAGCAGGAGAAGGGAAAATGCGTTCCTCGAGGAAAACCGGCCTTTATCCTGAACTCGGAGATACCCAAAACCAGCAGGTCGGATAACGGTCTCTGGGGTCGATCTCCTATCCCTGCTACAGAACACCCCAGGGCCAGCTCACACTCGCCACGGGGGACTTCTCACACTCACAGCTGGTGCACACTCGCAGCTGGTGCGCTGGGAGCGCGATTCAATGAACGGCGGCCGGAGGGGGTAAGGAGGCTCCCCCATCGCCAATTTACAGCCCGCCTGCATTCGGCCTCATGGTGTTGCCAAACTGCTTTTGCAGATTTTATTAAATAACTATAGTAACATTCTTTTGACTCATGCATCTCGCCAGCATCAATTTTCTCAAGCCCTTCCGGCCCCTGGAGTGACAGGGAGACGTGCTGATAGAGACTCTGTCAGAACCTAAATGTTTAGATGGAAGAGGACCAGGCTTACGAGGAAACTTGTTCCAACATCCTGTTGCTTGTTTTTCTGGGGAACACGCTGCCCTCCATCCCCATGGGGGACAGGCAGGGGACCCTGCACAGAAGTTAAACCCTGGGGCCGGCGGGCCTCCGAAATGTCCTAGAGACGCTGACCGTGGAAGGCAGATTCTACGGGCACTCCGAGGTGCCCGCCTGCCCGGGCCTCTGCAGGGAGGGGTGGGTGGCGGGGGGGCTCACACACTACTGAAAAGGACCCTGACGGGTGTGGCTCAGTGGGTGGGGTGTCCCTCCGCAGGGCGAGGGGTCGTCGGTTTGGTTCCCGGGTTGTGGGTTTGGTCCGAGGCTGGGGGGCATGCAAGAGGCAACCGATGGATGTTTCTTTCTCACATCGACGTTTCTTTCCCTCTCCTCCTCCCTCCCTGCCCCTCTCTCTGGAAATAAGTCTTAAAAAAAAATAACTACTGAAAAGGAATAGAACAGAACCCCCTCAGGGCTCCGAGCTGGGTGGCACTCGGCTGGTCTTAGTGTCTATTTAACTGACAACGTGAGCAAGCCGGACAACGGAGAGACGTCCCCCCGCAGAGAGCTGGGAGCGAGGGTGAGATGCTTCCAGGCCCCTCCTGTGCCCCCGAGGGCTCACGCCTGGGGCAGGGCGGATGCAAGACCCTGGCTCCTAACCCCCTCTGGCCCCTTCCCTCCTGGTGGCCGAGCACGAAGGACACCCCGGGGCGCCAGGACTTACATCTTCGTTCGTGGTCTGGTTGGAGCTGATCAGGTACGTGTGGAAGCCCGAGAGTCCCACGATGGACCAGACGGAGAAGAAGCACACCACGGCCTCCAGCACGGTGGCCTGGAGTCAAGGACGCGAACCGGGAGGAGGGGAGAGCTCCTGGGGTGGCCCGGGGGGGCCGAGATGGGTGGGACCCCGCTTAGGCCTCCCGGGTAGACCCACCCCTGCAGGGGTGTCCTCCCCAACCTGGGGGACCCCCTTGGGCGGGCCCCATGTCGCCTTCTCCTGCCGCCCGCTCAGCATTCTCGAGCAGTGGGAGGGACTCCCCTGACTGGCTCCCCCACCCCCGCCTGCCCTTCCTCGCCCTCTCCCTGTGGCTCTGGGTGTGGCCCCCGAGTGCGGCAGCAGAGCCAGGACACTGGCGGGCTGGGGGGGCAGCGGCCCAGGCCTTCAGAGAAAGGACCCAGTGTTGCGTCTCACTCCCATCACAGACTCTAACTTTGGCTTCTGAGCGCCGAGGGCTGTAGCACCAACAGGTGACCCCCCAGCCTGAAGTCGGGGCTGTGAGCGAACTGCTGTGGGGCTGACCTGGGGTGGCTGTGGCCAGGCAGGGTTTGTCTTCCTGCCTCGCTTTCTCCCCGGGCGGCCCGTCCACACCTGGGTGGCTGCCTGCGCCCGTCTGTGCGTGGGCTCCTGACCAGCGGGGACATTTCTCAGAGTGGCATCTGGGGCAGGGTCATTTTTATTGAGGGGACCCTTCCCAGCCCCTCGGCCCACCCCGACACAGGAGGCTCTGACCCCTGGATGCTCGCCAGACACGGAGTGACAGACGGTCACACCAGACGCGTGACAACCAGAGGAGACAAAGGCTGGCATCCTTCGGAAGAAGAGACAAATCAACCAAGAGTGTGGCAGCTTGAAAAGACTGGGGAATTTTCCTGTCTCGAAAATGTTCATGAAATTCTGTTTACAAGATTCAGATGATTCTCAGGGAACAGAAAACTCTTCTTAGGCCTGGGGGTGTAAAATACACCAGACAATGCCCACCAATAACTTACGGCCAGAGCAAATAAACACTCACACTTTCCTACCGCTCCCAGGGATGGAGGCCACAGCTCATACGGTAATCCATCACCATTGATTTTTTCTCCGGGAGTGGAGATCATTCATCTTTACACCACAGAAGTGGATGCATGAACCAGGGCAGCCCGTGACGTGCTACGTCCTAATCAATGAATGCCACGTCCGGGCACACCGGGCCACGTACCGAACGGGAGAAATGGAGGGGCTCCCGCCTATTCACTGACCGTCAACATCTAGATAAGCTGGTGGGTCTGCCCTTGGGGAGGTCGACAATGCTTTACTTTTTTAAGGCCTGAACGTCTAGAAACCGCAAGCTCACAGCAAAGCACCGCCCTACATTTAAGAGGACGTCCCAGGAGGAGGAGAAAGGTCACCCAGGTCACCCTGCGCCCGCCCGCCGGCTGGCCCAGAGTGGGATGGCCGAGGTCTTCCAGGTTGCCGACCCAGGACGCTCCCAGCAGGCCCCGCCGGTCCTCCTGGAGGAAGGAGGAGGAGAGGAGACCCAAGTGCTGTTTCGGAAAAGCAGGTAAACCCGGAGGGGAAGGGAGGACCGTTGGGGGCTCAGAGAGAGGCAGGGAAGCAGACCCCTGCCCAGGGCTGCCGCTGGCCTGGGCAGCCCCTTCCGCTCTCCCAGCTGGGCCAGCGGTTACGGCGGGAGGCCCGGTGTGCACATGGGGATGCTCGGACAGCGGCCTACGTAGCAAGGGGGGCCTTATTCTCAGCTGGCTTCCGGCAGGTCGGGACTCACAGACGTCCCTTTTCCTAACCTCACCCCCACCCACGGGGCATACGGGGTTGGAAGCAGCGGCGGTGGAGTCCGGGGACAATGAGGAGGTCCACGGGGGGCAGACCCAGTCAGGGAAACGGGGTGTGCAGGGAGGTGACTGTGGCAATGAACTTGCATAGGCTGGGGGAAACCAGAAGGGATAAAAAGACCGGGGAGGAGGTGGCTCAGAAACCAAGCCAGAGATGGTCAAGGGTGGAGAAGAGAATAAAAACCGGAAGCAAGGATCTATTTACTGAGTAACCCACGGAGAGCAGAACTTTGACCTCGGACATGCTGTGCAGCTGCCACGCAGGTCCAGAAAGGGTCGTGGCCAAAGGCACACGACGCCCTCAGGCACCAGCCGCACACGAACCGGCGTCTCAGGGGAGGTGAAGGGGCCACTGCCCCTATTCTGTTCCCTTTTAAAGCCACATGACACCATTGCCCCCACCAGGAGGCATTGTCTTGCCAGTGGAGGTGGAATTTTAAAGGTTTAGAGCAAGAACAAAAGAAAAAAGGCAGCTTTCTACATTAACATCTCCTGTGCTTCAGGAACATTTTACAAACGGCAGAACGCGGCCTCACCGTCGGCTCGCTGCTGGGCCCACCTGACGCGAGTCCGAGGCAGGACGCGAACCACAGCCTGCCCTGGCTTCTCCCCCGGTGTGTCTCAGGGGGTAACCGTCATCATCAGCGACGATAGAGGCCGGCCTCAGGCTGTGAGTCAGGTGCTGTTCCGAAGGCTTCCCGGGGACTAACGGAATCCTCTGATGCACCCAGGGAGATGCACGATTCCCACTTAATTGATGGGGAAACTGAGGCAGGAAGCAGGTAAGTATTTTGTTTAAGAAATAGCAGAGCTACGGTTTGAACCCCGGGGTGTGGCTGTGCCCAGACAGACAACCCATGGGCAGGCTCCTGTCTTACATCTTGCCGAGGCATGGGTGGCTCTAGGCTCACCCTCCCAGGCTCCCCCACCCCCAGGGGAGATCCTTGTCGGGGACCCCTGAACCTCGGGCAGCCGAAGGAGTCCACCCCGCCAGACCCTCTCAGGCTGCGGCACAGATGTCTGAACCACACATCTCCTCGCCGACCTAATAGCTGGGCGTTGACAATGTCTATGCTAGAATAAGAGTAACATAAAATTCCCTGAAACGTATAAAAATCCATTTACTGATTTTTTAAGAAAGAGAAATGGGAGGAAACGCGCCAACTCCATTAGGAGCCAATTTCATGAGCACTCGGATATGTATCGCATCAGAAACAAGTCCCGAATTAACGCTGTTACCACGGCCAGTCTCCACCTGTCCCCCCCCCCCGCCGACACCCCAGTAAGATGGGAGTCCCCTTTGTGGCCAGGGGTATGGCTGTAATTCCCCGCAGCCCCTGGCCCAAGGTGTCACCCCCGGGGCACTCGGGAGCTGATCACGGCATTGAAAAAATCCTGAAAATGCTGATGGGCAGACGCCCCTCTGTCCAGTACCCCGAGAGCCCAGGAGTGACGGGCTGGGAGCCTTCCCGGGCACCAGCCGGCCCTCGGGACGGGCCGCAGGGCACGGCCGCCTGTCCGCCCCGGGAAGGTGAGCGGGGGCCGTGCAAGGACATGGAAACATCCCTGCCGGGCAGAACGGTGAGGACCCCTCAGTAGTCGGAGAGTCATCGCCGTGGGACACCATGGAACCTAACCTTTCTGGGCTCTGACTTTCTTCTCAGGGAAAAATGCACACAAACACGTTCCTTCGTTATAGTTTCAGGGGCCCTAAAACTGCCCCGACGCCGCTCCACGGAGGCGCCCTGAGCTCCATGTTCGGTGTCTGGTTGGCTCCCGCCGTTTCACTTCACGGGCAGGAAGGACGCTGGGGTTCCCGGTCGCCGAGCCCCTTGCGGGAGCTCACACGGCCGTTCGCAGAGCAAAACGGAGCTGGGACTCGGTCTCCAGACTTCTGGGGGGGACGGACGCTTCCCAAGGTCCCGAACGGTGATGACGGTGTCCCACGGCAGGGGCTAACTTTGGGCCCTCGGGCCTCGGAGCAGCGAGACTGAGACGGCCCGGGACGTCCGTCAAGACTTGTCCTCTGCCCCCTGGCCCCAGAGCCGCCCTGGCGGAGAGCCTGGCCCCTTGCGTTACCACATCCGGGCCCCTCTCTTCCCATCCCAGCAGCCAGGCTTACGACCTGTTTTTGCCTAGTGCCAAATCCAGGTGGCAATTTATTTTAAAAAGTCTGTGTGTCTCACGTGGGTTTTCTTATCGACCAAAGTCACCCGGATCCCAGCGTGGCCAGGGAGTGCTGAGGCCCAAGGCTCTGCCGTGGGTCCCCTCCTCTCCGAGCGCTGGGCTGAGGAGGCCCTGGAGCCCCACGGAGTCGAGGGGCATTGCCCTGGGGGCGCCACGCATGCGCCCCTGATCCTCGTGCATCTTGCTCTGTGTCAGGCCCCAGTCCGGGGTCCTGATATTTAAACACAAGAAGCAGGTGCCGTTGGGAATCATTTCTTTTTTTTCTTCCCTAAAAATTACAGGGAGACCGGCAGTGCTCACTCACAGGAAGGGCCCCGATGGGATGGCGTGTATCGGAGATATCTCCTTTTGTTCTCTAGGTTCAACGCCTCCATCAGCACTCGATGCTTTTAAATATTTAGGTGCAGGAGCTGGTCGGCATCTCATCTTCATCAGTTAGATGGCCGTACGGTCCCGAGACAGAGACAGGGAACCCCAGCCTGCGCCCGCCCCCGGAGTGCCTGCCCCCGTGTCCGGGACGCGGGCTGTCGACTTCACGCCGACTCACATGGCAGACCCTGAGACCGGAAGGTCACCGGGACCCTTCCAGTCTCTCAACTCCTTTCCTCCCATGAGCCTTTATACCGGGCAGAAAAGGGGGCAGTGTGTCCCAAATTACTCTGTGAAGTCACAATAATTCTCATCTAAATTCCAACAGGGATTTTAAAACTGGAACGAGACACACTGGTCCTAAAATTCATCCAGAAGAGAAAATGTACGAGAAAAAGTAAGATGTTTTGGAAAAAAAAAAAAGCATCATGGGGGTGGGGGCAAGAGAAGAGTTCTCTAGCAAACAAAGCAAGGTAACGGGGCCCAAAGCAGACTCGTGGGCATGTGGGATGGAGAAGGCGTTTCAGTCGGCAGTGGAAGGACAGGCTGCTGGTTCCCCAGGGCTGGCCCTGGACCCTTAGGGTCCCCGGGATGCTTTCAGGGTATCAGCACCCAAACGGTACTCCCAACGGCAGCCTCACTCTATCACTCAGCGGCGAGTTCTGGAGGCTGCTTGAAATGATTGATGTAAGCTCACTCACTTGTGCTCACAGGAAGGGTGCTTGTGCATCCTTGTGTTTTACACATATCTGTGTCAATTTCAAACCTGACATATAGAAATAGATACACTCTATACAACTAAAGCTCTCTGGGGTCCTCAATACTCTTTAAGAAGGTGGAGGAGTTCTGAGACGAAAATACTGGAGAACCGTTAGGCTGGAATAACAAGCCGTATTGAGAGACCCTTCACTAAACAGTTGAGAAGAATTGCATTAAAACTGTAGCTCACACCGCACACACAAAATTGTACTGCGGAGAAACGACTGTGCCAAACTTAAGAAGCAAAATACGAAGGTTCTAGAGGACAATGAAGGAATTATTTCCATAATTTTGGGGTGGGGATATAAGGCACAAAGCGTGGGATACGAGCTTTGTGGCACAAGATTTATAGATTGACTTTTGTTGATAAATGAAACACTTCTGTGCGCTCAGGGAAGTGACCAACCGGCAGAGACTACTGGCAGAGGACACTTAAGAGGGTTCTTACTAAGAGTGCACACAGAATGTGTTAGCAGAAGAGCAAACAGCCCAGTTAAAGTACAGACAGAGGGCAGCCCCGGCCCACTCTGGCGGGAGGAAGAAGGTCAATAAACATGCAAAGAGGTACAAGGCGATTTTCATCCAGAAAATGGAAACTAAAGCAGTGAATTTTTCTCAGCCCATCACACTGGCAGAAACGGTGGCGCTGGAAACAAGCAGTGCGGGTGAGAACGGAGGGGATGGGAGGGTGAGTCGGTGCTCTCTTTCGGGGGCCACGCGGCACGTCAGTCAGCACGTAGAATACGCTTAACTTCAGGCTCAGCGGGCCCACGTCTCCATGTGTGTCCTAGAGACATGCTGACCCTCCCTTAAGCACAGAGGAATACAGAGAAGGAAATCCTCCACCTTATTTCTTGAGCAGTAAAAGAATTAAAACATCCGAATGTCTAACAATAGAATACACTATGGTTCAACTGTACTCTGGAATTACAGAGAAAGAACTTGAAGAAAATGAAGTCAATGTACACGTGGACATGGAAATATCTAAAAATCAAGCTGTAGGACGATGCAGAGAGCACGGCCCCTTCCAGGCACCAGCAGCCCCTCCCCCACGCCGCCACCGCGTATCGGTCCACGTGTCGGAATGCACACACAGGAATTCACACTCTTACAAGGGAGAGCACTTGGAAGGAGCCACGGAAACCGACGAGGATTCCTACAGAGGGGAGGAGCTATGCTCCCTTTGCATCTCACCTATTTGACATTTTTTATGGTGAGAATACGCTCTTGCATTACTTGGATGATTCTAAAAACCCAACAACCTCTTCCCTCACTTTGTGATCTTATGAGACGCAAGTGACACTTATTCTTCATGAAACTCCCTCCATCAGCCGGGGGAGGGGCAGCAGGAAGCCTCAGCTCCCTGGGTGGGAAGAGGGGCCTCTGGTTCTGGCAACGCTGTGCTGGGTAAACTGGGGTCGTTTAACCTGCAGCTGTCGAGAGAACCCAGGACGCCCATCCTACCTGTTCTCCGAGGATCAACAGATATCAGTTTCCTGGACGGGCCCCAAAGGCCGAGACTTGGGGAGGGCCTGAGCGGCCTTTGTTAACGTTCTGCCAGGCAGTGTCCTAACGGTGTCCTTTTTTTCGGCGGGCCCTCGGCCAACGCCAAGCGTTCTACCAGGTTCCATACAAACAGAACGATGCCTGTCAGACTGTCTGTGTCTCTCAGATGACGGTCCGAAACGACCGGGGCCTCGCTCAGGACAGGGGCCTGCCTGCCTAGTGCCTCGCCCCTCCACCCCTGTTGGAACGCCCCCATCTTCCCAAGCCCCAGGCAGGGAGGCCACCTGCCAGCGCCTTCCCTGGCTTCCCTGTGGGATGTGCATCTTCCTTCTGGACTCCACTCTGCCCCCTGCCCCCCAACTAGTGCATTTTCTGAGTCTTTGTGACACTTAAGACTTAAACTCTGCCTTTAAGAAATCGGAAGCCGGGCCTACTGGATGTTGACCTGCAGAGCTGTGTGCTAATACATTTCTGTTGCTTTAGGCCTCCAAACTGTGGCTTTTTGCTACAGCAGCAATGGGACGCTTCTTGCTACGACGGCTGGGCACATGCAGAGCAGACATGGCAGAGGCCGTGGCCTGGAGGCGCCAAGGTCCTTCCTGCACCCGAGCTGTGCCGGGATGCCGCAGGGCGCCCGTCACCCACTCGGAGCAGGTCGTGGCCACCAAGCTCTGGAACGTGGAGGCCACGCTTAGGTCGCCGCAGCCCGAAGCGGGGAAACATCAGGCTGTTGGTGGAGGGGCAGCGGCGAGATACGGCAACGCTGGAAAGACAGTGGCCAAGTTTTCAAACACCGGGCCATAGGGAAACCGTTTCCTCTACCTGAGAACGACATGCCGAGGGAAATGAGCTCAAGTTTGCTCTGGACCCACTGAGAGCGTGTCTGCCTCGTCCAGGTAGACAGTTTCTGCAGCAGAGTCAGCAGGCCACTTCAGTCGGACACACTGCCGCCCTTCCTTTCTTTCCGTCAGCAACATCTGTCCACTTCCTTCGGGGGAACGCAGTGCCCCTGACCGTACAGATCACGAGCACAGCCAAACCTGGAGAACCAGCAGACACACGTGCTCCTAAAGAAGGTGCTGGTGGAGCCTGCCCGTCGCATAAACCGCCACAGAAGGAAGCCTCCCAGAAATCGCTCCCGCCCGGCGTGGAAGCAATGCTGTGGCTCTGAGCGTGGTCACGGGAACTCCAAGCAGTTGGTGTCGTCAGCACAGCACTGCCGAGTGCAGAGTGGCTGACTACGGCCAGTCAGGACACAGACACAAAAGGGTGGAAAGAAAGGAGTCGGCTCTCGTAATTAGCTCTGATGGAGCAGGCATCAGAAGCTGTTACCCCGGGCTAGGACTTGCCGCCCCTACCGCCTTCCCTTAGGACTCGTGCCCGGATCGTGAGCTGGTACGATCTGTGAGCTGGGGGTCTGTGGCGGACAATGCAAACACCTGCAACAGCCCAGCCAGATGCAGCTCCTCTGCTCCAGCTGGGGGTGGGGCTGCGTCCGAGGGTGCCTGGCAAGAGCCACGTGGAGCAGTGGGAGCCCAAAGGCCCCCGGGAATCAGGTGGCTGAAATCCCCAGGCTTCAGGTCAGCCTTTCTGACCAGCGAGAGGTCACTGCCTTGGCCTGTCCACTGGAATGCATGCATGTGACATGCACATCTCAGTGAAGCTCTACATTCTTTTAGGATTCTCTACCACAAGACAATGACTCCCGGGAATAACGAGAAGTTCAAGTCCAGTCTGCCTGGTTACGTGAAGAAGAAAGAGAGCTGGGTCCCAGCGGGAGCTGGTCAGGGGGCGCCAGCTGACTGATACGACACCAGTGAGTGTACACAGTGGGTGGACAAGGGAGGGAGTGGGAGCCCACGCATAACCTTAATGGGTGAACCTTTTTCTTTTGAGAAGTTCAAAATACTGTAGTATATGCCCATGTACACTGTAGGAGAGGACAGGATTAACCGAATGACTTGAGATGGACCATCTTCGTCCACTCAGGCCTGTGGAAAGGTGTTCTGCTTCTAAAAATAAATACGGAGTATCTGTCCTGCCCAGAGCAACGCCACCCTGACCCCCAGACAGAATCCCCTCCCAGGCTCAGGGGATCCCCACCTCCCGGCTGCCTACCAAGAAAAGGACGCCCACGGGCCTCCTTAAGTATCCTGCAGGGACCACCCACTGATCCACAGGAAGTGAGCTGCAGGCTGCAGCCTGAACCAACCTGGTCTAGCACCGATGGGCGAGCGTCTGGGGGTGGGCAGGAAGTCGCACTCGGTTTGCTAGCGCAGGGGCCCTCCCACTGGAACGGGGCTGGACGAGTCGCCGCGCTGAGCGAGCGCTCAGACGCCACTCCTCGCCCAAGTGACCGCCAAGGGGTCCTCCGGGCGCGTCACGGAGCGAACCCCAGTACGATTTCCGAGAAGACAGGCCAGGGCTCCGGGTGGGGAGGGAGCTGAGTGGAAGGTCAGGCCACCACGTGGCACACCGCCGGCCTCGGGAACCGCCGGCGCAGCCGCCAGAAAGGATATCTCGCGGGACTGTCCTTCAGCGCGTTCAGGAAGCCCGTCTGCTGTGAGCCTGCGGGAGTAAGACCGGAGTTTAGTGTCCGCGCGTTCGCCTCCCGTAAAGCAGCCTTCACGCCGAAAGCTCTCTCGTCTACACGAAAGTAACAGGCGTCTCAAGATCAGTTAAGTAATTACATGTTTTTTCTGCGGGCCACGGGCCCAGCGCCCGGGCTCGAGGCTGAGACCCCACCGAAGTCGTTCCACGAGAAGACGGCAGATGCGTAACTAGACCCAACATCTGCAGGCTAGTTTTTTTTCAACGACAAAAAAGCAGATGGATGCCTGCACGCTTTCCCATAAATTACAGTTCTGATGACTCCTTTGTTCGCCTCGTTTGCACAGGAAAACAGAATACTGCATGCAATCTTTCTCTCTTCTTTTAGGAAAGACTGTTTTCCCCGAGTCTGTTAACTCCCGACCCCGGCTGTCCTGGACGCCAGGCTGTGCGTGAAAGACGTCCTCCTCTGCGCTCGGCGCGAGCAGACGTGCGGAGCGCGGTTTATGACCGACTCCCTTCAGGTGAAAACGTTTCGGTGTGGACGGCCTGTGCCGGAAAACGTTTCGGTCAGGACTTGAGTTTTGGTTTATGTGCTGGCACTACGGTTTTTAGGGATAGAAGCCCGTAGGAGGAACTGGTGACGCCCCACCCTGGGGTGGTGAGGCCGGGTCCCTGCTGCACGGCACGGAGCCATGCGTGTGGGGACACGGCTTGGCCCCCAGGCAGCCGTGAGATGGACAAGGGAAACGGATAGAATTGGACTGTGGCACTTTGTGCTGCTGCTGTGGCTGCCGCGTGGGAGTTAGAGGCGGTGTCCTAGACCCTCTGTGTAACCGGCAACTCTGTTTAGCTCCGGGACGGCTGCCAGTGGGTCGGCTCCCCATCCTTCCTCTGTGCGTTCCACTCCCCGCCACCCCGTGCCCACTGAGGCACAGGGATGTGCCGTGTGTTAGGGTGCCAGTGTGTGGGAGAACTAATAGGAAAGTTGAGGCGTTCTCCTCACCGCTGCTAGTTCAGTAGGGCAAACTCCGCAGGGGCTGCGGCAGATCTCTGAGCTAACACGGCCTGAGGCAGAGTGAGCTCAGGAACCTTGGGGTAACCGAATCCTCACCCCACTCTCCCTGCTCCCAGAGCCTGGTACCTGGCGGGGAGAACTCAGGTGACAGTCCCCCAGCGGCCGTCTTAGGGGGGTTATGGGGGACCATGTAAAACCCCTTGCCCCTCCTGAAAGCATCTCAGGTTGCACCAAATGGGGGTGGGGTGGGGGTGTTGGGGTGCAGAGCAAGAGGAGAGGAAAACCTTGACTTGCTTTGCTTTCATCCAGAATGTTCGGGTCACTTGCAGGCAGAGGGGTTCCAAATGCTTTTTGTGCTGAAGATGGATCGACCACGCACAAGCACAGACCACGGCAGGGCCCCGCTTTCTGGAGCCCGGCTGGGCGGAGCTTCGGTGGAGATGAAAATGAGCTGTCAGGTGGCGGGCTTCGCTCTGTGTGTGTGTGCGTTTCCAGAGTTTACGTGTGCGGCCGAGCAGGTGACAGTGGGCCGCTGGTGTCCAGAGTGCAGGGGCAAGGCCACAGACACAATGAGATCGTGTATACAGCAGGGCAGTTGGAAGTTTCTAAAGATGATGTAAAGACGTAATGTGTAAACTCCGGTTTGTGGCGTCACGGATAATGTGCCGGAGCACCGGTGCTTGGTGCTTCCTTCTTCCAGAGCGCACGGCCACTTCTCTCGGTTCTTTTGTCCGCTGGCACGCAGCAAGGACCCTGGCGACTCTGGCTATTCCTGACTCTGAAAGCCGGCAGGAAAGGTGCCCCTGCAGGGCCACGTCCCCCACCCCAGTGCCCTGGGCACCTTCTCTGGCGACTGCCGACTCTGCCCCTGCAACCCTGCCCGGGAACGGCTCGCGAGCACCGGTTTCAAATTTGTGTCACATTCGGATGAAAGGATTTCAGTAGAAAAAAACGGGAACCAGGATTTAAAATGCCTGTGAAAGTCTGGGACTCTTCATTTAATGTCCAAACTTGACGACTATTTAAAAGAACGAACGTGAAACTTTCCTGACCACCGACTTCCCCAGGGCCCCATACAAACTCCGTGGAAAGAGAGGGGGAGGGAAAGGTTTCCAACCTCAGCCTTAGCCCACACCCCCTTTGTGGTTTCAGCGCTGCTGCTTAGGAAGAAGGGGAGGCATGTACTCAGATACTTTCTGGAACATTCCAGAAAGAGGCTCTGTACTTGCTAATGGGTGGCTGCATTTCAGGAATGTGGCCAGGAGGCTCCATTGGACTTGACTGTTGCTAATGGCCCTTGTAATGGAAGTTTAGAGGCTTAAATTGATAGCTCAAAGCCAATCAACTTCCTTCTCATCACTGCCTATTGTAGGAAAGTGAATGACCTAGAGACGAACGAAGTTCAAAGTTATGACCTGCAGACTGCGGAATAAACAATGCCATTTGCTTAGGTAGATCTATCTATCTATCTATCTATATCTATCTATATATATATATGTATAAAGTCATTTATACCCAAATCTCATTTTTAATCAAGTTGCTTCCTTTATATGCCAGGGGCGGCTTACCAATGTCCTACCAGGTAAGTGAGCACCTTATCAAACGTGTACCTGTGATGCGTAGAGTGTGTGCAAGGAAACCCAGTCTTTATCCCCAGACCCCTGTTTCTGGGGAGGTGACTGATCTGCCTGAGTAGACACCCCAGTAAAAACATGAAAGACTCCGTGCTCTGGCTGATCCCCCAGCGTGCGAAGCGTGGGGATGATTTTCCCAGGGGACCCCTCAGCAGAAGAGAAAGTGAAGTTGCTGAGGTTGGAACAGGGACAAGTGTGTCCAGGACAAAGTCTTGGGAGTGAAGAGAGCCTGTCCCAGGTGTGAGCCGGGCAGCTGCTCCGGGGAGGATGGGGGTGGGGCTGGCAGGTGGGGGCAGTGCCCAGGGGTAGAGGAAGGCAGAGCTGAAACGGGGGGGAATGCCGGAAGTGAGGAGGGGGGGCCAGGAGGAGGGGGAGGAGCAGAAAGAGAAAGCCCGGAATGACCAAAGCGTTAAATCAAAATTAAGTCAGAAAACCAAAGTTAGGCAAACGGTTACATACGCAATCTGGTTCCGCCAGCATACTTACGAAGGATGACGTGGGTGATAACGAATGCAAATATAAAGACTGTCAGAAAAGACAGAGATAAAATAAACATATAAAAAAATCTGTAGTTTCTTTTCCCCACACAGTTGCCTACCCAGGGACAGTGGTGATCAAATCGTTCTGAAATGAGAGGCAGAAAAGAAAACAAGGAAATCAATTAATAAAGTGCTTTTTTAAAAACATGCCAGAGCCCCTCCCCCACCACCCCATGCTCCAATAATATAACAAATGATATCATATATCATACTACGTATTTACAAATTAGCCACTCAGAGCAAGGCTTCACGTTAAGACATTTCAGGAACATAATGATTCTTTCAGTAGAACTTGGCTGTTCCGAAAAACAAAGAGTATACATTTATTCTCATTGCAATTAGCAAAGTAAAGATTTTACCCTTTTGTAAAAAAGACAAAAACAGAAACAAAACACAGACACCTCTTTGGTTCACAGAACAGTGTTTCCTTAAGATGGTACCAACTCCTCTGACGCTGAGTGCAGGGCCGGGCGGGGCAGCCTCGCCACCTCTCGTGGGTGCACATGTAGTAGTAAGCGACCGCTTCTCGGGGCAAGTGACATGGAGTGAGGTCCCAAGGGGCCGGGGACGGGACCGAGGAACGACCCCTGGTCTCCCATCCCAATCACTACTGTTCCTGAAGAAACGTCTCCACTCTTTCAACAGTTGTAGGGGCGTCGGTATTGTTTTTAAAGGGAACCTCGATCTTCAAGTGCGAGGTGACCAGGCCACTCAGCCCACAACCCTCAGCCCCCTCACCCGTAAAACAAGGAGATTCTATGGGATTCTTGTGGAGTTAGATACAGTAACGTCTGGGAAGATGTTTTAAAAAGACCTACAGGACACTTGAGAGTTTGTCGAGAGAAGTCCCGTACACGAATACATTTGGCCTTGAAGCATTCCTATGGGGAACACGGTGCCGCCACCCTGTTTTGCGGGCGCGCAGACCGAGCTCGGAGAGAAGGCAGCCGGCACGGGGTTGGGGGGGGCCACACACCTCGGAAGCAGAGGAACCAGACCTGGAGGCCAGGCTTTGCCTGGGTCGATCCCACCTTCCCACAGAGAGGCTGCCTCCAGCGCTTGGTAACCGACAGAGCGCTGGCTTTGCGCTTTCCTGCACTGCGACGCCTCGGCACCCTGAGTGCACACCATGTCTTCTCGCCTTGGGAATGTCCCCTGAGCGCGGTTATGACCCGTTCCTCCCTTTGAGAGGAACTGCCAGGTGGATGCGGTATGACGCTTCAACACCCCTCACCTCGGGCCGCCTGCGTGGGGAGTGGGGCGGGGGCGAGACACACGACTTAGCGTTTCACTTGGGCTCCAAGCTTAGCCTCTGCCCAGCTGTCACATTTTTTCTACCCGGACGCGCTTTAAAACACACAGAGAGGGCTAGGTGAGGTGCAACTGTGTCGGCAACACATGACGTAGCTGTGCAAGGCAGTCACCTTCATTGCTTTCTGGTCAGCTGTCATAAATCACTCAGCTCAGGTTTTAGGTCAAGTGCACGCTCACGTCTTGAAAAGGGCAGCAGGACACCTGGAGACAGTGGAGGCTTAGGAACTGTAGGAGTCACTACAGTGCGTAAGGGACATCGACGAGCAGCAGCCAGCCCGCGCAGAGGACCCCAAGAGAAATCCCCGAGCTCCCTGTCCTGGCGACACCCCGGTGGCCCATGAGACGCCGACGCTCAAAGGAAAGTAACTCCGATGGGTGTACCCGTGTGACCTGCACGTTCACACGTGCCGCTGGAAGGTGAACCCCTGGGTACAACAAGGTCATTGCCCCACGTCAGCGACCCACACGGGCCGTGCAGTGGCGAGGTCTACACGAAGGGGTGCAAAGAGAGAAAAAAAATCTGAGCCAGCCAGATGTCCCTAAGGCCGTGAGGCTGTTGTGTTGAGAGACCTCTTTTCTTCTCTGCACGGCGCGTGGGAAGTGGGGGCGGGACGTGGAGCACAGAGCACGTGGAGGGCAGAGCCTCGGGCCCAGCTGTGCAGTCTGGTCTCCAGACCCCGGCGGGGGCGGGGATGGGGGCGGGGGGGCAGCCCCCTCTCTAGGATCGCCAGCTGCAGAGAAGGCCCCAGGGCTCGGGGGGCCTGCATGTCGCTGTGGAGCCCCACGTGGGCCCCGGTCTTGGCAGCGCACTGCGAAGCATTTCTGCGGGGCAGGCAGTCGCTGTATTTTCAGCTTAGGAAGCTCACTGTTAGCTACGCCGCTGTGACTGTGCGTTCCTGCGGGCGGCAGAGCAACACAGGAGTGAGAGCGACAGGTGATGCGCAGGAGACGCCCTCAGGGGGCTGGGCCGGGGGGCACTAGGGCGTGGCAGTGTCCCAGGTGTGGGTGTGAACACCTGGCCCTCTGGCAGCCTGCGCTGAGAGCAGTTTCCACTTGGAAGCTTGTCTTATGAAAACCTTTTTCGTGGCTGATGAACACCCCACTAAAAACGGAGGCTCATGGAGAAATTCTTTTCATTAAGGTGTCTCATGCCCTCCTTTTTGTGTTGGAAACTCGGTGGGAACAGAAGCCTCCGCCGGCCTCTCTGGGGCACGAGGACACGTCCGAGTCCAGGCCTCACGGACTGACGGCGGCCTCACGCCCTCTGGCTCCCGACCCGGCACCCCCCCTCCCCCTCTTCCTCAGTGGCCCCTCTGCCTGAGTTCTGGCGGCGGCTGCACCCAGGGCTCAGGCTGGGCCTCCTCATGTCTCCAGGGACTCGCTCTCTCCCTGGGCAATCTCTTGGCCCCCAGATCAAATGCCGACTCTACACAGAGGCACTGAGATGGCCGCGTGCCGTCTTCAGTAACAGCCCCGTGCTGAGCCAACTGACCTCTCAAACCTGACACCGGGGAGAACTTCCTGCTGTCTGTCCCCAAAGGCGTTCTTCCTCCCACTTCCCGTCTCCCTGCTGTTCAGCCCAGAAGCCCGGGCACCATCCTTGACCCGTTCTTTCCCTCACCCTCACGTCCGATCCATGAGCAAGTCCCACCAGGGACCCCCACTGTTATCGAAACTCATCTTAGTTATTTGCTTTTATCTGCCAACTTTACCATAAGCCTTTACCAAATACCTGTCAGATGACTGAAGAATCCCTCATGCCACCAAAAGGACCCACGGGAGTAAGTGCATTGTCCAATGTTACAAAGGCGACGGGCAGTAAGGTCGGGACAGGGCCCAGCTCCACCGCCTCCAGAACCCTTGACCACTACATGCCACGTGCCTTTCACATTCGCCAGGTGCCCAGCCGCGCCAAGCGCTAGGACTACTAAGAGGAAAAAGGACGACACAACGTTCCACGGCTTCAAGGAGTTCCTTATCTTCTTTGGTGAGGACACTGTATTTTCAGACTCCAAGATACGGGTATTCCGCAGACCCCAGGCCGGAACTCCCAACACAGGGAAACCTAATCTAGGGTTAAACCAGGCTGCCCCTCACCACACACGATGGTCTCCCTTTATGGGGCAAGGATAAAACGGTGTGAGGGGTGGCTCCCCGGCCCCCCACACCTCTGCTCTAAATGCATTCACCCTCGTTCTGAGGCGCGGGGCAGGCCCAGGCGCTGCCTGGGGGCGGTCTGAACGGGAGGCCGGTGGTATTTGTGTTGCTCGGTTTCCAGGGAGGAAGCGCAGAGCAGCTGCGCGCAGGCTGACACGGACGTGGCTCCTGGGGATCTGAGTGAAGAGGCACCCATTGGCTGGAAGGGACGACATCTGGAGGAGGAGAGGGGAACCCAACAGCTGGCCACGAGCTGCGTGCAACCACAACATCTGAGACGTTTCAAACCTCTATTATTAGAGGTCGGTTTGCGTATTTCTGTGTGGACACGTGGAAGGGCGGCCGCCCTGTGCTGGCGGGCGGGGCGGGGCCGGCCATGTGTGACGGGAGGATCTTTGGAAAAGCACTTTGAAGCTGTTGCCACATCCCTTGATTCTGAAGGCGGGATCCTGCCAGGAGGGGGGTCTTATGCTCCAGCATCGCCGGAGAATTCTTAGGAGCTGCTCCCTGAAAGAGGCCGCACTGGAACCGAGCCTGGGGCGGGGAGCCGGGGAGCTGATACACCCAGAAGGTTCTCTAATCCTGTGAGACCTAAGTTAGTTAGCTGGGGGGCGGGGGGGGGCCCTGACCGCACCTCAGTTAGCATCTCGCTGCCCTGCGGTAGGTTGTGGATTCTCCCCTCCTTCCCCACGTGAGTCCTGGGGGTGAGAAATCATTTCTCGTCACCCTAGTAGCCCTGGCGCGTGAGTGTGTGTCTGGCACGTAGCAGACACTCCACCGATACGCCCCGAGAGAAGGGAGCACACCTTTCATTGCCTTAGGTTCCCGAGCGATCCCTGTCCCTGGCTGCCAGGCAGAGACAGACGCTGGGAAATGACAGTAACGATGAGGCTTCCGCAAGCCAACCCAGCAGTCAGCGGGGTCAGTGGGGTCTCTGCTCAGAGGCCGCTGAGGGTCGGCAAACGGCGACTCGAGGCCAGAAGAGCTGAGCGGACAGCTGTCAGGGTGAGTTGTGGGGCTCGAAGAAAGAAGTGGCCTCCGCCCTCCCTGCGCTGCCAACAGTGGGCCGGCAGAGGCGGGTTTACGAACAGCAGCGCCACCGCAGGACAGGACGCCACAGGGGGACCCGGAGGCTAAGGGGGGAAAGCACGTGGGGAGGGAGGGCCCTTTTGACAAGTCAGCTGCCCTCCGATTCTACGTGGCGAAGGCGGTCCCGTGAAAGTGGCCAGGGAAACGTGGTCTAGGAAGAGGAGTTATGGTCCTATTTCGTTGACCTAAAACTTGAAAGATGAATCAAAACAGTATTATTAATGATCATTAAAACTGCCCTTCACTGAGTGCCCGTTGCGTCATTATTTCATTCATTCTTGACGACAGCCCTACACTTTCCAGCGGGGGGACGTCCAGGGAGACAGCGAGGTGCCCCCAGGGTGGGCGGGCACCACGCTGAGCGACACGTCGAGCACTGGATTAAAGGAAGATTTAATTTCTGGGAGAGATGGAATATGAAAGAGAGCCCATAAAAAGAAGGAGAAATGGAGAAGTACTAAACCTGGACAGGACAGAAAGAAACACTGAAATGTTAGGGGAAAAGAACTCACAAATGTCATATTT